ACAGTCGGCGCCATCTTTCATTCATGGGTAATCAGGGTAAGAAGAGATGCACCCATCATGCCAGATAGAAGATGCTCTGATTCGTGGATAAGAAACTCTCTATGTGTCATGAGATTAACTGTACTCGTGTCATGGAGAAATGCTCGTGTGTGTGAGCTTGTCAAGTAGACTGGTTATAAAACAAACGGATCATTGCAAGGACACATTCATTTCAACCTTATTAATTAAGGCACAGATTAATCAAAACATTTCGTTTAACCCCTTGTTCATACTTATATGATTATTTACGTATTTCATGTAATCATTCAGTATTCATTATTATAAAAGTTCATTCTTATAACTGTTCGGTCCTTTATTCTGTGCAGGACAGTCTAGATAAGCAGACAGGCTTGGCAGAAAGACCTTGGTGAAGGGAACACTGTTGACAATCTCAATGTCAACAACCCTGTAGAACCATTCTCACAGCTTGGAATATTAGAGGGCACACAGAGGCAGAATTATGTCTGTAGATGACCGGATACTGAAGAGGTCAAACTGTAGATGAAAAATGACCATTCCTGGACGCCACACCTGTCCTGCCTGTTTTATTCTACTATAACTGTCACGTCATTAGTTTAATTTATAACCTGTATTATAATTGGATTTATTTTATATTTACCTAAACTATCATAAACATCATTATATCAATAATTTCACTGATATTTTGATTTATACCCCTCAGTTTCCATCAGGCTTCCGTCCATGTTTACACTTCTCTACTCATCCCTGACTGGGAGCTCGGATTTTCGAGCTGAAAACGGGTTCGTGAACAAGCCACAGAACTCGTCTTTATTCGTATATTTACGTAGCTTTGGCTCTCGCCTCCTGATTGGCCCGTTTAGCTTCGGGATCTTGTTTCTCCGCCCTCTGATTGGATCGCTAGCTGCGTGTCTGTTCTCGGACGTGCTCGCTACAGCTGAGAGTCACCTTGCTCCAGCCGCCTGTGCTGCTCCTGTACCGGTACCAGAGCAGGGGAACCGTACGGGTCAGAACAACAGGTGGGAGCTGAGCGGGAATCTGCGGACCGAACCAGGGAAACATGACGGAGGCTAAGCCCAAAACCTCTCCGAAGGCCATCAAGTTCCTGTTCGGAGGATTAGCCGGGTAGGTGCTGCTAGCCGCTCTGCTAACAGGCTAAAGCCAGGGGTCAGGTGGGGTCAGGCGGACTACCGGAGGGGGGTGAGCCCTGAATGACCGATATTATAATAACAAGCTAAACTAACGTCGGTGCACCAGGCCAGCTAACGCTGCACGAGGTTGTAGAGTCTGAATGTGAGCTGCTGATGCTAGCTGAAAGGGCCAGTGTTGTGCTGAAATCCGTATTCCCTTTAATCCTGGTTGGAGTTTATTTAAACTGGGATAATCAATCAGTTAATCTGATTCGAGTTTGCAGCCTCTGATTAACGCAGAAGCAGATTCAGACAGCACACCCGTGTTGTGAGTGACGCTGTAATCTGGTCAGACTGGGTCCTGCTTGCTGTCGTACAGCTGTTCTCTCTGCTTTCAGCAGGTGAGACAGGTCACGTGATGCTTCTGCAACCCAGGAGCTGTTTACCTCCATGACAGCTGTCTATTGATCTGATGTTTATTATTGTGTCAGCTGTTGTCTATTGATCTGAATGCTGTTGTTTATTGATTTGATGTTTATTATTGTGTCTGTTAGGGCTGAA